AAAATGTTTACTTGCTGCCTAATATATCCCACCCACTGACAGGTGCCATGATAACCAGATAATCAGTGTTATTCACTTCACCTGTCAGTGCTCATAATGTTATAGTTGATCAGTGTATATTGTTTCAAGCCAGGATGACCTGTGACTTGTAATATTTTCCAGTGATCTGTTGAACATTTATCACAATTTATGATAACCCCACTGTTGGTTGCTTCATTTACATTCTGAAACACCCAAAACTCAAACTGATCAAAAGATTCAGTGTCATACTTCTCTTTGGCTAAAGGCAATTGCGGTGCCAAAATTACACTTTTTCTCATTGTCCTTTTAATGGCTTTTTGGAAACCACTGACTATAAATTATATTATATAAATATGTGGAATAGCTTGCGGTTGCAATGGTTGTATGGCTTAAGAAAAAAAAAACTGCCCTGCTCATATTGAGTTGGGCTTGCTCTTAAGTACTGAAGTAGTGCAGTAGTGTAGCTCAGAAAGAAAAACATAATTACGTGATTTCTTAAGTTAAGAGTACAAAATATTCAACATTCACCAACCTATTCTCAGTCAGTTACTGCTGCAAATACATTTGCTATTATCTTGCACAAGCATGTATTTTAATTTACTTTACACTGACAATTATTGTCCAATTTTGAACTGATAACTTTCTGTGCATTTCAAAAAACTGTAAAAACTTAGGGTTAGACACACCTGATGTTTAAAAATGCAAAAGAAATATGTGTTTAAAGCTTTAGCACAAAATAAATGTTACTGGCTTTTTTACAATTCAGTTCAATTTATTTTGTGATAACACAGTAGTGTTCCCTAATAATATGCATCCACAGTTGGGCAATTATGAGTGGATATGTCAGTATAAAGGAAACTCATGGCAGCAACATGTGCTAACTGCTGCCAACTGTAGCTGCAGTTAGCTAGTCAGAGTTGAGGCAGAGCAGCTGGAGGACATCAGAGGGAAAATATATTCTCCATAAAATATGATCCAGTTTCACCAAAATCAGTAAGTAAACTTATAAAGTTGTGTTTTTGTACAGAATGTTAAGTCAGTGAGGCAAGGCCCCCAGAAACAATGGGGGTCGGCATTCAAGCTAATTCTTGTCTCATTTGTGGTCTGATAAATAGTGAATTAATCAGATTCAGGTTAAAAACAAAGACCAAATCTTTGCGAAGGGAAATATATGATAGATATACGTGTTTATTTGCAAATAGAGCGGGTCAGTGAGATCAGATCACAAGTATGTGACACGCATGTGAACACGCATTCTAATGGCAGGTGTGAACTGACATACTTAAGAGCACCAGTGATTGGATCACTCAAGACGCATGTTAATACCAGGTGTAAACAGGGCCATAGATTAGGAACTGCAACAACTCCAGAAAAAATATCTTCCTTTAGAGTCAACTACTTGCTATGTCATTTGTTTGGCGGGGCGGGGGGTTGTTTTTGTTTGTTTGTTTTTTGGTGTAAGAACAAGGATTTGGGCATTTGAAATATCTTGAACCACTGGCCACTTCTTTATAACCCTGTCCTCCATTGCTAACAAACAGCCAGGGGCAAGGAGGGAGAAAAATGTAGATGGGAATTATGAGGTTTTTTAAAGGCTTCTTTTCAGGCAGTGGGCTCAAAAAGGAGGTTTTAAAGTCAAAAGTCAAAGCAAATACTTATAGTAAGTCTGTTACTATGTGGTATGTGTAGAGACAGTAAAAATCTTACTTCCATCCATTTTAATAGTCTATTTCTTACAGTCTAATCTATGACACTACATTGCAGTGAAAAGAGTTTAAAGATATTGTGGAGTGAAACTAAATGTTATAGTTTTTATTAGAATATGTCTAGCATTTTAATCAATTTTCAATTCAATTCAATTTTATTGTGTATAGCCGCCGAATGCATAACAGAAGTTATCTCAGGACACGTTTCAGCGACCCAACTAGTACCACTATGAGCAACCATTTTCTGTCCCATTCTTATTTAAATTATATTTTTTGTTGGATGTTATTAGACTTGCATGTAACTGTATGTCAACATGTCATTTTCCTAAAGATTCTATCAGCCTAGCATATATGAGACTGGATGTTAGTTTGTTCAGAGCATCTGTGTGGTTAGACAGTGGGAGGGATATTGTTAATAGGCTGTATAAGCTAGCTTATCCATGCTGAAGGAGCTGGCTGTGTGCACTGGTCTACCTGAAGGAGAAACAGGATTAGGGATTTAGTAAAGAAACAGTCCACACACTAACAGATGACAGCTTCTCTAGCATATCCTAAACCTATTGGCTATTAGTATTATATGAAAGGAATATTCACCTTTACTGTTTTTAATTATTTGACAACTATCAAAAAATAAATTAAAAATAAATATATTTTAAAGTATAAAACAAAAATTTAAATATATTTTGGCCTTAAAACAAGAATTCACTGAACTTAATGTTCAGTTTTAATTAGGTCCAGAGACTGTATTAAACCACAAAAATGCTTACTTCAAACAACAAATGTGACACATGGATTTTACAGTGTTTAAGTAGTTAGTGATCTATTGACATTTATGTTAACAGAAAAGCTAATAGAAAGACTGTGTTGCCACAAACTGTGGGAAGGCCAGAGACAGCTTAGGTGCTTTGCTACTGTTAAGACAAACTAATCTGGTTAAAGGGCTTTAATATTTACCAGTACATGTGCTTACCTATTGTGCGCAGCAAGTGTTTACAGAAATTTGTAATGATAGGTTCAATTCCATTGCCCGTGAATTTCATTGTCATTATGCCTAAAATTGTGTGCATTTCAAAGCAAAAAAGAGAAAGCTAAATTCAAGGCAGTTGCTGTTTTGTATGCAACATAATGGCACCCATTGTTTGCAATGGTGATTAGCTCAATTTAGAGTATACAACATTATCTGGTTATTGTTATGGTTTGGTCAGGATTTGTTTGTTTGTTTTCTTGTGCCCCATACATGAATTTGGCTTTAACAAACTATTTTACATTTTTTGTTTTCCACGCTTCCCTAAAGTCATATGTCCATGTTGGAAAAAAAACAACACTTAAACTTACCTTAAAGCTGCTTCCATGACTGTAATTCACTCCTTTAATAAAGTTTTTTTTTAACATGACTTTGTAACACCATAATCTCTAAAGCAATTTGAAAGGCAATTGAAAATTTCTAGAACTGAATGTCAATGAGTCATATCACAAATTTGTTTTGCCTCTTTACTGTTACATTGCCATCTGTATCTTCCATTCTTTCCATTATTGATCAACAAAAATGCTTTAAAGTAATACAGCATTTAAATGGATGGTGTTTGACACTGCAATGGTATAAAACAGCAAACAATGATCCTAATTTGTTTTATCTTTTCATCTTCAGGCATCCAAGATAACCCCTGGTTCTGTGACTGTAAAATCTCCAAGCTGATTGAGCTTTCTAAAATGGTTAACACACCAGTGGTTTTGATGGACCTATTCCTGACCTGCAGTGGACCAGATAATCTGGCTGGTGTCCCTTTTCAGCGTGCTGAACTTGACAACTGTGTAAAACCATCAGTCATGACTTCGGCAACCAAGATCACATCTCCTTTGGGTAGTAATGTTCTCCTGCGGTGTGACGCCACAGGGTTTCCAACACCAGCTCTTAACTGGGCTAAGTCAGATGGCTCAGCAGTCAACAACACAGGTATGATACGCAGGCTTTTGAAAGTTTACACATTTTTGAAAAGCAAAACCAATTCCATTTTCAAATTCAATGACATTTGCACATTTAGTAACTCATATATTACATGTAGATTCTCATTGCCTGGTATGTACAAAGCATTACCGTCTGTAGTACTTGTGCCACAAGGTGATAATATATTTAATTAAACAATTAAACAAGCAGGAGCAGCAAGAGTTGGTTAGACTTGATCTATAATAACTTTTGTGTAATTGTTCCACTTAACAGTCCAGGAGTCACCTGGGGACGGCGTCAGATGGTCCATCATGAGTTTGCATGGAATATTGTACAAAGACGCCGGAAACTACAGTTGCAAAGCAAAGAATTTTGCAGGCAACGCAGAAGCCAGCGTTTCTATCTCGATTGCTGGTAGCATCAGTACCACTATCCCTCCAGTGACCCCTAGCATAGAAATTAGACCAACCAGCCAAGGCACAACATTTACTTCCCCAACGGACATCCCCAGCTCAACCACAATCACATCCACAGTTCTTCCAAGAACATCAACAACTCCCTACACTACAACTGCTACCCCTAAGAAACCAAAAACAACCCCCAGCAACATTATACAGAAAGGGAAACAAGGGAAAATCCAGCAAGGAGGTAATGGGCGAAAGCTTGCAGCAGATGAAAAGAGCAAGAAAATTGATGCATCAAAATCTGTAAAAGACCTTAAGATTGTAGAGGAAACATCAGACACTGCAGTTTTGCTCTGGACAGCAGATGGGTTATCAAATGATGCCCCACTCACAGTTGTATATTCACCTTACGATGAGGATGACAGCAAAAGCACAGTGGAGACTAATGCTGGCAGTGGAAAAGTGCTACTAGAGGGACTGTCATCTGGAATGAGGTATTCTGTTTGCCTTGTAGCAAAAGGTAGTGCTGCTGGAAAAGATCCTTGCATTGACTTCTACACACTGGACAATGTAGAAGATGGTGGTCAGAACCAGCTTTTCGTTATCATAAGTGGCATTGCCTGTGCTTTGGTTTTGCCTCTTATTGCACTGCTGCTCTACAAGATTCTCGCTCTGTACTGCAAGGGACCCAACACAAGTTTAGATGAAGAAGAGCTTGAAAAAGAGAGCTATGTCAAGTTTGAGACAATTTCAATGAAACAAAGGAACTTGAACTCTCATCCAGCCGAGCTTTGGGCAAGGAGACAGACTCGTGAATCAGAGCGAATGCTGCTGTGCTCTAGGTCAAGCATCGACTCCCAGATGACCTATAAGAGTGACAGTTCTCGGTCTGAGTATCTCTGCTGACGCCAGGAATCTGTGGCCAATGTCCAAACGCCATGCTAACACATTTTATGAAATATTCTTTGTATGCCTTTTATGACACTGATAAAGTATTACCTATAAAATCATTTATAAATCTTTATAATATATATGTTCCATTTTGTCACATCAGTGGGGCTGTAAAGAAACTGTCTTGAATGGTGTAACATTTATTCAGAATTTTAAACTATTAATTTATAAAGATTTATATAATGATTTAAAAAAGTGTAGTTAACATGAGACATTCCCTCGAGGTTGTTCAAAAGAACAAGAGATTTTTTTGTTACAAACCAAATCAGACCAGTCAAGGACTGTCTGATATCTTTATTCATGTCCTTATTCATTTTTGGGCCTTACATTTCATAAAGAGTTTGAATGGTTGCCACTACAGCACGGTACCTTTGTTGGACTTGTATAACTTGTATAAATAGTACCATACAAAGAGCCTGTCAGTTAGCTGCATGTGGTGTTTTATCTTATACCTAATGCCAAAGTGTCACATACAAATATTAAATGGTGTCAAAGAAGACCCATTATCCACTTCCCATCACATTTACAACATCACTGTTGCTTTAAGCATCAAGCTGATTGTTGCCTTAACGGACCAGAAAGTACTGTCAGTGTGTTTGATAGAATATATGACTCCTCTGATAAACATTGCCTGTTTCTATGACTTTGTGTATATATTTGTCTATAAATAGAGTTGTACATTTGTTTTTGAATAAATTGAACAACTGTTGAAACTATTATTGTTGTATGTTAATCTGCATTTTCTTTGTATATTTGATAGAAGGCCACTAAAACTACAATAACTGTCCTTTACTAATTATTTAATCTTCCAGTGCTACCAAAATTCATACATTTAAAATCTATGTTATGTTTTTATAGGCATAGTTTTAGTAATGTGTGCTCTTTCTAGTGTTCCCCAGGTGAAACTAAATCTTAATGTCACAATGCACAGTGTACATCATATACTGTATACAGTAGTGCTCTCTTCTTAGTCTCCTGCTGTGACTTAAAAAAACGAAGAGAGCTTGCTGACCTGACTCCCAGACGGACACTGTTCCACACCCTGGAGAACCAGGACAGCAAATGCACAGTCCACTCATGTCTTGAGTGAGGCACTACTAGCAGGCCTTGCTCAGAGAGACTAATGGACCTAGCAGAGGTACATGGCATTACTATCTCACTAAAATATTCTGGAGCAAGATTATTCAAAGCCTTATAGGTCAGGAAGGGGATGTTGAATTGAAACCTAAATTTAACTGTAAGCCAGTCTTGCTGCAGAGTTGTGGACTAATTGTAACCGGATGAAGCATGATGAAAATAAAATGGTTCCAAGAACTGATTCCTGAGGCAACCCACAAGTCAAAGATCAGGTGGAGACGCCTTCATCGGTGGGTAAAAAAACCTTCCGGTTGGATAAATAGGAGGAAAACCAGTTTAGTGCTACACCAGATATCTCAACCTATTTTCTAGCCAGACGATTAGAATAGCATCAACTGTGTCAAAGGCCACGGACAAAACTAAAAGAACTAAAGTGGCAATTTTACCATGGTCTAGCTCAGGGGTCACCAACACGGTGCCCACAGGCACCAGGTCGCCCCCAAGGACCACATGAGTAGCCAGCAGGCCTGTTCTAAAAATTAAAATAAAATATTGATATTATCTGTTTCCCACCTTGTTAAGTCATTGTTGATAATTATTGTGAGAAATCATTAACGTGATCAGTGTCTTCACATAGATGAGTTAATTAATCATTAATAATAATATATAACTAAAGGCAAACTGAGCAAATTTGTTATTTCAGAAGAGTGTATCAAACTGGTAGTAAATTTCCCCCCGGGGATTATTAAAGTATTTCTGATTCTGATCTGATTCTAAGCCCTTCGTATGACTCAGTACCCATGAAGTAGCTAGTTTCAAAAAGGTTGGTGACCCCTGGTAGCTGCTGAAAAATATTATTTGTGACCCTTTGTATTTGTGAAGAGCTGTCTTCTTGAAAGCCTGATTGATATTTATCAGAAATTAAATTTTCCATAACTAGTTGCAGGAATTGCTTATTGGGTGTTAATCTTGGATGCAAAAGGAAGCTTAGAAATAAGTCTGTAATTCGTAGGTATGTCAGGGTTAAGGGCTAGTTTCTTTCGAAGCGGACGAACTGCAGCCACTTTAAAAGATCTCAGGAACATGGCCTGATAAGAGGGACTGGTTCATAATAGCAAGTAAAGATGGTCCAATAACGCTAATGGCTTCTTTAAGCTGTCAGAGAGGCACAATGTCAAGGGGGCAGAAGGAAGGCCGAGTGTGGGTAACGGTAGCAATCAAATCTCTCAGAGAAATAGGAGAAAATTGATCTAGCAGGATGGGACAAGTGTGAGGTGGCTCAGTATCAGGGCTGTTCAGGCTGGGAGACACAATAGATGTTTTTTTCTGTTAATTTTTTTTTTTTTATAAAAGGAGGACAATATTTTTCCCAATCCTTCACCAAAGGTGAGGACATGCTGGTGTTATTTAAGACAAAGAGAAATCTGAGAATATCTTTGTGGTGATGACATTATTGAAGTATGCAGTTTGTGCATCCTTAATTCAGCAAAATCATAAAGTCTTTCATTTAAGCATACTAAACAAGAAGTCATGAGGTTTTCCATCCATGCTCTGCTTGTCTACATTCTCTTTTTAGAGCACAGATGTCATTTATCTAGGGAGATGAATTGGCCAGTGATTTGGTGTTGAGACAGGCAGCAGCTTGTAGAGCAGATGCATATAAATCATTAAAATGGTTGACCATGTCATCAATATTTGGAAATGATGACCCACCTGTGTCCAGCACAGAAAAAACAGAAGAAAATGTAGCTATGGATTGACTGTTAACAAGACAACACGTTACAGTGTGTAAAATGATTGGGTGTAAAAATGTAACATAATCATAATCATTCTATTTTAGAGAGCCAGGTATTATGTGTGTACTATATACGTGTGTGATGCTTGTAGTTCAGTAGACACACAGACACAAGAAAGAGAAGAGTTGCTTGAAAAAAAGCATATAATCTATTATGACTCAAACAATGTGTCATGTAAAAGCAAAATACACGGTTGCTCCTTCCCGGTAAAAGTATGATCAATGTAATTTATGAATAGAAGTGGGCATAAAAAGGTACAACAACATATCACATGTGTTCACTCAGTTATGAACAAGAGCAGGCGCGTTCATCCTGAAAATCAATGGGTCGCAGTTGTCACGCTCTCTGAACATTTGAGCAGACGCTTCCGTAAATCCTGATGACGAGTGGACCTGCAAAACTGTTCCCATGGATACGTCTGTGCCACCAACTGTATGAGCCTGCAGCACTAAGTAATCTCTAATGCCAGCTGTGCTGTTATCATGGCAACAGCCAAGCTGTTTTAACAAACAGATTTAATGGTAGACAAGGAGGGGCTGGGCTGGTAAGGATAAGATATGTACATATATGATAGCAGTTCGATGGAAATACAGATAGATGGATTGATAGCTTGGTAGATAGCCAGGGAGATAGATGGCCCTCAGAGGGAACAGGGCCAGGAGGATAGTGAGAGGGAAAAGAGAGACATAACAACAGATCAATGAACAGACGTATACAATATATTTCTTGTTTAACCATGAAACAGTTAAACTGTGGTCCATAAAAGTTAGTCCAGACAGGGAAACTGGAAGTGAGACATTTCACTGCTCTAGAGGCTTTACAGTTGCATCACAAATCTCCTGGCAGCCCTGACTTGGTGCCATTATAGCAGTCCAGTGGAAAATTGGCCTCATGTAGTACACAACAACAAAGCTAGAGAAAGACATTGCTCAAAGATTGTTGTGGTTCTTGAACCATTTTGTAACGTAAGAGATAACTAAGTGGAATTAGGCAGCTAACTTAAGGTTAATGTGAAACAAACTTATCCATAGCTCTTCTAGCCAGGTCAAGCCCAAAGCCATTACAGCTTGATAAGTCAGTGCAATAATCCATTTCACTTACTGAAATTACAGCAAACATCACATAGCACCTAATGTTAACTTTGTAAGGATTTTACCTCATTTTTGTTGACACTAAATGCAGCAAAAATACCTAAACACAAAGTACAGTATATTATTTACTAAAGTCATAAAATAAATTGAATTACACTTATCAGTATATCTAACCTGACAAACCTGGTCAATAGTTTTCAGTAGCAGAGTATGGATAATATTTAATATTTTATATATGTCAAATTAAATCGAACTAATTCATAAAACAATATATTGCAATAATAATCTTACAAAAGAAATACAGACTACATATTTTGGGCAGTAGCAAATTCAAATCTAGAAGTTAGAATGAGTGAAGAGTGAAGGCAAGTATGAAAGGTTAGCATGACTTGAGTTATAGAGTCTTAAATGCTTTGTATTGGAAATTCTTGAAAGGGACTCACCAGCTGGAATTAAGGATTGGAACTATCTGTCTTACGAAAGCAACGACATTAGGCTGCATTTAATGCAGCAGGAGAATATACATCTTTGTATCCTAGATACGCACTCTACCTGATGATTCAAACCCATGTGTGATTGTCATTCAGCACATGAGTCACATGAAGTGAAACTTGTAGACATTAACATTTTCATTGTTATCTGCCAGTTGTGAAATCGTGGGAAAAGGTTAGTACCCTTCAAACTGCTAACATTAGTCTGGAGACAAGCGACTGTCTCAGCCGTGTAAATCTTCTATTGCCGGTTACTGGTGACAATATCCTAGTCATGGAGGGTATGAATAGAGGTTTTGGTTCGTGGAGTCTGTTAGCTGTTCTCCTGGGTAAAAAGAGGACAAACAATTTAAGGATAATCTGCTCCACTCCTCCTCCATGCTCTATAAATTACTCATTCTACCGAATCCCCCGGAAGCCAGACGGACTTCAACAGGAGACACATTGACTTCTTATTCACACACAGAATCCAAAACAGAGTGTCTATTGTTTCTGTGGAATGTGTAAATTACACTTGTACTGTATGTCATTTATGAATTGTGTTATAGTCTAAAAAAAAGGTACCAAAGGTACATATATATCAGGGTCGTGTTCGGTCTAATAGCCTTATATGTAATGTCATTGTCCCACTCTCTCTCTGTCCGACACAAAAGCTCTGTCTCAAACAGACACATCCATCCGCATTCAGAAAGGACACGGGTCAGGGGGTGGAGTGAGGGTAAGATGTTATTATTATGTGGGACCTTTCTTCGGCCCAGCCTCATCTCTTGCATATTCCAAATTCTGCTTAAGACACTGACTGCAGCTTAAGGAAGATCCTGCTCCAATACTGGACTAGCATGTGCAAAATTTACCACGGGGGTGTCAGGAATTTCAATCTTTGCTTCCAAAACAGACTGGCAGCCTGGGGGCCAAAGTGGGGAGTGAGTAGGATCCCACACACATTTTTTTTTTTGGGTTGAACACTGTACTAGCAGTATTATCTTCTTCATTCTGGGTACTCCATCTTTTCATTGGGGTACATCTCTTTTTAAGATGACATTTTTCGGCATGTAAAGCTCCACTGTCTTGGACAAGGATGCCAACAGCCCATAAACAAACATTGCTTAATTTTGGAGAATTCTTGTGCGCCAGCGCTACTAGTGGGAATGCCTGAGAAAAAGTGATCAAGTGCAGCTCCCGAGGCAAGGACGGAGTGCAGGATTATGTTGACTGCAACTATCACAGCAGCTCTGATCTATTTTATGGTGCAAAGCTCTGGAGTCTTGGCCCTTGGTACAGCATGTTGGGATGAACGCCTATCGCGAGCGGGGAGAAACAGCAGCTGTGTGGGTAAGTTTGGTTGACTCTCTACTGCCCAGACCAATTCTCCAAACTTTATTTTCAATTAATACTGACAGAAGTCTTGTTGAAAGCACTGTAGACTACTGGATACCGCTGTATATAAGGTCTTTTTGTCTTTAAACCATGTGTGTCTACAAATTGCTGTGTAGATTTATTGTGTTGGCAAAGAATGTAGTTAAGATGACAATCAAGAGAATCAAAAACAGTATATCTTCTGGGTATAGTTGGTACTTTAATGAACTTGTAAAGTTTAAATTATCACAGGGGAGTTTGGCCAGGAACGTGAACTGCTTTCATAAGGCACAAATAAATAATGTTAAAACATGATTATGTTCAATATATGGCTGTATCATCAATCTTCTGTATTCATTTTAAGTGGATTGGGATTACCCAAAGTTTTTTTATAACCTAGTTTGTATGTCTTTTTTCAATAAGGCTTTTGCTTCAGTGATTCAAAATTCATCATTTTTGTAGTTGCTAGATACACCCTTCTGCACAAAGGTTCCCCTCTCTATGTGGATACACATCGTAACCACTATACTATTACAACTACTTCTGTAACTACTATTCTGTTTTTGGCTGGTACTCAGTGATAAAAAAAACCTGCATTCAACAAAAAGTCACAGCAGAGAAACAGAAGGTAAAAGTGAAGCACTCTACAGTGTGTTGCAAAGTGGACAATACAATGCACTGTAGCAGGTACAGTAAGCTGGCCTGTGCTTGGGTGGGTGTATCTAAAGTTGAGCCAAAGTTTTTTGTGGGATGCCACAAGAACATCAGTTGAAGCTTACAGATGGTGATCACTGGTGTCCAAAAGGTTACCACGAATGGTCACTGCCATGCCAGATTGGCAGAGTGTAGCTTTATCTCAGCAGAACGTAAACCAATACCATGGAGAAATTCTCGTCACTGTTCTGTGCACTCCGCAGATAGGTCAAAGGTCATGGTCATCTACAGAACAACATCCTTTGAGTCCAGCAGTGTGGATACTGGTAATCAGTGCAGATGGTGGAACCTGGACCTTTATATGGAAGGCAGTCTGGAAGATTCCTTTTTTTTTACTTCACTTTTTTAGATAACATTCTACCTAGGGCTTAGCGATATAGATGAAACATTTCTTCCAATAACACATTTCATTTCAGTCTACTGTTAATAGAATTCATTTTTAATTACCTATTAAAGACCAAGTGAAAAAATGTTAAATTAAATCATCATTAAATGTGCATCAAGGCACAGGGGTAACAACTGTAATGTTAATGTTTTTCATACAGTATTGTAGCTGTCTCTACATTGTGGACTGACTGCGGATTGTTTCCTGAGATGCAACGGATGTAGGTTATGACTGACGACATGCAGCATACTTCAAATGATGGAAGCAGCTATTGTGATTCACTCATAGCATGCTCCATTATTAAGGGATATGGGCCTGGATGACATTTTATCATTAATTCTACCAACCTGAAGCAGCACATACTGTGGCTTTAACAGCAAATATGGCTATCCCAGCACACCAAAGATGAGATAACAAAACACCTTTTTGCTCCTAATGTATTTATCTTACTCAAGCCCCTTTTCTAGCTTGTGATATTGTCTGTAGCCAAATACAAGTACTGGTTAACTTGGTATAAACAGAATGCTGCCATCTCTTTCAACAAATGCTGTCTCATGCTATACATTGTCATATTACCCAACCTTTATTGTCAGTATGCAGTGTTGCTTGATGAGAGTTTACAATTCACCCACAGCTCAAATACTGAAGCAGTTGGTTGCTTTGATGAGCAACAGTATTGCATTAAATAACCCAATTTAATGACTTAGCATCCCAATGGCCACTCAAGCCACCCTAACAAGTTTTACCACAATGTAAATTGGAAAATCAATGTCCATATTGCCTGCCTAGAGCAATGGAAACACCTGTTTTTGTGTCACGTTGCTGTCAGATTTAAAAAGTGAATATTTGTTTGTTTTTATTGGAAAATGGGAAATGTTGGTTTTAAAGTATCTATTTTCTCAATAAGTTATTGAACTGAGTTTACTACTAGGTCAAGAATCATGCTAAAAATCATGCTGACCACCATGTGAACCTTTCAATTAATGATTCATCGGGATGCCTCCTAGCAACTCAGCACCAGTGGCCATCTAGGGGACATACATTTCATTATGTTGTTTGTCTGGTTGCTCATTGTTTTCTTCATTCCACAGAGTTAAGAGCTGTAGCCATGGTTGCACATGACAGTGTTATTACCATGATAGACCAGAGTACCATCTATCAGTAGTAATCCATACAGCAAACACAGATTTGTTTTCACCTCAGAGCCCATTTTAACAGGCTCCAAACTACATCTATGTGTTGTGAAATCTAATTCAGTGTTTCCAGCAACGGACATGTTGGAATGGATGTCCACTCATTCATCCACTTAATTGTGATCATTTTGTGTACTAAAGCAGAAACCTGTTAGAAAAAGTAACCTTTAACTTCATGCATTGCAGAGTATTGTTAGAGCCAACGGATCATGCAAGAGCTATTAGTTGCTAGGGGATAATGTTTTATCCAGAACCAGCTGAGTCTGCCTTGAACTTCATCCATTAACAGCCATGAATAGGCTTTATATCAGAGAATTTGACAAATTTAACGACAACTGCAGTGTGACACAAAGAGGGAAGCAGCAGCTATTGAGGTGTTAAATGCTGCCATAGTTACCTACCGGCCCCTGGGATTCACTTAGTTAAACTGAGAACAAGCAAATATGATTTCATCAGCATGAAAAACCTGCACACATTAACTGGACTGGCACTGGCACTGGTACGAAATGCAAAATAAAACTGAAATGAATAAATGCTGTTGTAAAGCATTCAGTCAATCTATGGCTGAAAAAAAGGGAGATATACAGATAATACAACACACTAGATCCTCTGCATTTTACTACTACTCATACAACAATCGATTAACCATTTTCAAGCAAAAATGATAAATATTCGTTGGCTTAGCGATTAAGAAAATCTGCTGTTCTTTTTCATACATGGCATTAAATTGGGTTTGGACTGCTGGTCAGACAAATCAAGCAAACTGGAAGACTGTGCCATGGTTTCTAAGAAATTGTGAATGGCAGTGTACCGATTCATCGAGGAAATAAGCATATTAAATCAATCATTATTAAATCATTATTAATTGCAGCCCTACTAATAATTGAATAATTTTCCACTTCAACTCCTGGTACAAATACACCTGAAAGCTGTAGCTTGTAGTAATGCATTTCATTCACTGTTAATAGTTAAGCAGAGATTTTAAACTGATATAAACACTTCATGAATCACTCAAGGGAAGAAATGTCTGACATAAAGTTGTGGCTATTTAAAAGCTTTGCTTTGCATTATTTACAATTTTAATACCTAAGCCTAATAAATACTGTTGTGAGGAGGACGTCTTTGGGGCTACTGCACTGCTGAGTAGCAAATACTGATGTACCTTTGTTTTCAAATGTGGGGTTTTGGAATGACCATGTTATAGCAGGTTAAAAGAATTCATGAGATTCATGAAAAACGTGTGATGTTTTTTTTTTTTTAAGCTTCACAGCCCTTCTTGATATTCGGCCATGGTAAAGCCATTCATCGGATGGACCTTGATGGGAAGAACCAGAGAAGGCTTGTGGCTGGGGTGGCAAGTTCTATTCTGCTCGACTTTCATTTCAGAGAAGAGAGAGTTTACTGGGCGGACAAACACACAGGGGTCATCTACAAAGCATCAGTGAGGGGAGCACACAGACGGGTGATTATGTAACTATGTAAAGTGTATTTCTTTGACATTTGACAATTATGCATTGGTCTGGGGTTCGATTAACAATTCTAATTTGAATATTTATGTTCCAGAAACTGTACTCATCTGACAAACATATCTCGGGCCTTGCAGTGGACTGGATTTGGAACAGTGTATATTGGACAAGTGGAGAAAAGGGAAAAATCAAGAGAATGGATATAAATGGGAAAAATGAAAGGACTCTTTTAAGACACTTGACGCAACCAAGTTCCCTAACAATTGACCCCACCAACAGGTAATCCATTCTGCATTACACGTTTATGTTTGTCATACAGCGCTTCTTTTCTCATGTAGGCAGATTGTGGGAGAGGTCAAACAATATTGACTGTATTAAATGAAAAGATGAGATGGAGCAGTGCAGATTATTCTCATACAGCTCCTCACACAGTTCGGGTTCCTGGTATTTTGTCTGTGTGTTTCTATAAATGTTTCATCTCCCTCCATCAAGCATGGCTGACACAGAAGTGCAGAATGAAAGACTGACTTTCACATGCACCAGTCTCTCTGGTCAAAGATTTATTGGATTTTGCTCCAATAAATTGATCAAGTGGATATGCAAAGGTTTATGATTATGAAGCTCCTGATTTGAAGGGGATGTTAGTATTATGTTAGCATTCATATGAAAAATATCCAAACAGCCACATTTGCAGAAGCATCTAACTTAATTTTCACAATTTCTAATGGACAAACACATAAAGCTAACAAATATATATATATATATATATATATATATATATATTTTTGTATATACA